GCGTATTTTATCAAACTATACAAATAAAATGGGACAGAGGGGTATAATTTTTCCTTGATTCAAATAGGACTATTATACACATATTTTTATATTTTTATTTTAAATATTTAACAAAAACAAAAACCATTACCGGCAACTCATTCTGATATTAGATTGATCAAGTTTAGGTTTATCAGACTTGCTTTTTAAATTTATAAAATGAACCGGAAACAGAAACAGTAGTTAACGACTCGAGCATTAAGGTTTTAAATTGGATTTCCTTTCCCCATTTAATGTGGATTTCTACAACCCAAGGCCCACTAGAACTTACCGGGCCTAACGAACTTAATGTGACCAAATATAATAATACAATTTTTTTTTTTTTTTTTTTTTAATTTTTTTTTTTTTTTTTTGGCTTGTATTATGTGATTTTATCTAGAGGTGAGCATACAGTCTATTCAACTAATTTTAAGCCAATTGTAAAACCGTACTAAATAAAATCAAAATTAAAATCAGTCGAATTTTAATTTTATTAATTGAATTTAATCGAAATAGAGAGAAAATCGAATTACTTATATTTTATTTACTGTGTTAATAGATTTGTCTATATATATGGAAAAAATATTTTTTTTTTTGAAAATATAATTCATTAATAATAATATCAAGAACTACAAATAAGTATTTAGACCAGACATATAACTTTACTATTAATAGTTAATAGTGTTCTCTAATCTTTTAACAAATTAAAAGAATTCATATCCTTTTGAATAATGAAGCTAAAACTAAAAAATATAATATTAAATCTTTCTGCTTGGAGTTGATCTTGACAAAAGATATAAATCTTCGTATCAGCAACTAGTCCGTTAATTAATTTGATTTGACAAAAGATATAAATCTGCTTGGAGTTTTTTTTATTTTGATTTAAAATATAAGAAATTGGGATGATGTGAAATTAATGGTTTTAGCTTAAAAGAAGAACATTATAACATTTTTTTGCTTTTTCCTTTGGGTTGTATGCTTAGCTTTTTTTTTTTTCCAATTTTATTATTATTTTTATTTTGCTAATTTTAGTTTTGTTTTATTTATTTTTACAGAAATTGAAGTGTGTGCAATTCAAGATCTAATTTTAGTTTTTTTATTTATTTCTACAGTAATTAAAATGTGCAATTCAAGATGATTAAAATATATTTTATGCAATAATGAATTAGCTATTATGTTTCAATATTTTTTTTAATTACATATTCTCAATCATATTAAATCTCTAAAAACAATAACAAAATCAAGTATTTAGATCGTATTAAGTAATTTACAATTCCACTTTATTTTAATGAAAAATATAAGTATTATACGGTCGCGCAAAGCGCGAGTTACTGTTTAGTATCATTATATATATATATAATGGAGAATCAAAGCTTTTCCATATATGCTGAGGTGACACTTTCTCTAAAAAATAAGAGTGTACAATGTTGGAACATCTTCATTTATCTCTTCGGTTTTAAAATTTTTAAATGAAAATAATTATTAGAATGGCGTATTCGGTTCTCAATAATTATTAGAATTGTCTCTTCAGTTATCTTTTCCAAATTGCCAATTATCATATCATGAGTTTCATATTATCTTTTGGTACTTCTTGCCTCCTCTTCTTGCCGCTACATTGGCATCCCAAACAACCAACGGCAAAAGGTTCAGGCAATTTGGAATCTTCTCAAACATTATACATACTAATCTATATAGTCTATTTACAGTCTATTTTATAAATTAGATTAGATCCTATGTTTAGTTCTAAAATAGAGGATGATGCTGGAAATTTTTTTTGCTTCACCCTTTATAGAAAGCATAACTTTGGTAAAAAATTTATTGGAAATGCATCACAAATTCAGAAGCCTGGTTTGGGTTCAGCAGAACTATTGTTGCGCCACCTAGAAGCAACATACGCCAAGATTGTTGACATCAAAGGTAATTAGTAGGAAGCTTAGCTGGCTGCTTTACAATTGTTTCTCATGCTTTAGGAAAGTTTTTGTGGCTGTAATTTCCCAAACACATAATTCTAGAATTTTCTTGAGCATGATCTTCACATATAGATTAACCAGTAGAAGGAGAACTATGGTATGCTGAATTAGATAATTTCTACTTAATTGATAGATGGACGAAGCAAGCTCAAAAATTCAGTAACAAGACAGCTGATGGCTTTATAAAAGAGTTTAGTATTACCATATTAAGAGAACCAGAGAAGCTGAACAAAGACAAGGAGAAATATTTCTAGATGAATTTTGATTTCAGCCAATGTTTTTCTTGACAATAGAAATTCACATGATCAGAAAATATTGTAAGAATTTAAATTCTATGTCAGCATACTGATTCATACAATTTTTATTATACGTTAATTGCTTTCATTTTCTTTTTTAAGGATAAACCAAATTGATTTATAAAAATTATCATATAGCTTCTATTATACGTTTTATTTAAAATAAAATCATTATATAGGTATATTTATTTAAAATAAATTTTAAAAAATGTAAAAATTTTCAAATGCCTCATTTATACACCACTTTATCATGGAATTATATTATTTTTTCCATAGAAAGAACTAAAAAAAATTACATATCGGAATATTTATATGTAATATAATTTCAAAATTTTATATTTAAAAATTTATACTATTTAAAATTTTATTTTTGAAAAATATATCCAATCAAATCATACCAACATATAAAAAAATGATTAATAAAAATATATATTTTTTCTATTTCTATCTCCCTCCTATATAAAATAATTTAAATTATAATCAAAATAAAATAAAATAAATAATAAATTTAAAAAAAAAATAAATAAATATTTAAAATATTAAAATATAAAAATTTTTAAATGTCTCATTTCATATTTATTTATTAAAAATTTGGAATTTAAAAAAGATAAAACTTAAAATTTTGATGCTTTAATTATCTATATATATTTATTAAAAAATAATTTTTATAAATTATATCCGATCAACTAAGAAAATAATAATATATATTATATATAGTATATATATATATCACATTTAAATTATTTAAGAGAAGATTAAAAATATTATAAATTTCACATGAAATATAGATCAATTAAAGATATTTATTAATCTTATATTATATAAATTTTTTTTCATCCTTTATTTACTAGAATCTGATTATTTCTAAGAGTCTTATAAAAGAAAAATATCAACATATTATTGTCTTATAATAAAAAAAAAAACTATTAGGAAAACTTTTTTATTTTAGGATAATCGTCTATAAGAAACAGAAAAGTGAAGAAAATTAATTGAAACTATTTTTCCGATGTATACCACTTTATCATGAAATTATATTTATTTTCTTCCATAGAAAGAACTAAAAAAAAAATAAATATCAGAATATTTATATGCATATAATTCAAAATATAAATTTAAAATTTTATTCTATTGAAAATTTATTTTTAAAAATATATCTAATCAAAATCATACAAACATAAAAAAAAAGAGTATTAATTAAAAAAAAAATACATATTGATTTTTTATCTCCTCCTAAATAAAAATACTTTAAATTGTGATCAAAATGAAAATCAAATAAATAATAAATTTGAAAAATAAAATATAAATAATTTCAAATGTCTTATTATCATATATATTATTAAAAAATAAATATATACAATCAACTAATAAACTTGTAATTTTTTAATTGTCATTATTAAAAATATTAAATAAATTATATACAATCAACTAATAAACTGTAATTTTTTAATTGGTCATTATTAAAAATATTTTAAAACATTTTAAATTTCATTAAATGTGATATAAGTAATCCATTATTTTCTCATCATTCTCACTGTTATATATAGTATAGATGGATAGTATATAAAACTAAATTTTACAATAACAAAAACAAAGTAAATAGTAAACAATTAAAAATATTTGAAAACAAAAAAAAACAGAATAACATATACATTAATTATTTTAGTCATTAACTTTACAACAGAAGAAAAAACAACCATTAAAGAATTAATATTAACTGTGGATTCTTTTTTTTTTTTTTTTTTTTAAATCAAAATTCAAACAAAAGAATGCGGAACCTACAAGTGGCTTGGGTTTTATTGTTATGTTTTAGAAAACAAGTGAAAAAAAACCACATACTATCTAGGTAAGTGAAGGAAGTTCTCTTATCCTCATCCATAAATTTCTAAACAATTTAGACATATTTTGTTAACAGGACTAAAACATTAATCAATTAAAGTTTATTGGTACTGCACTGGATCTGAAAGCTCCCTGAAAATAGCAATCAAATTCTGTACTATGTCCAAACCACGCCTAATCTTTAATTACATTTCATTACAACTCACTAAATAAATAATTATTTAATTTTGGTTCAATTTTTAAAACCCTAAACATCAAACTAATTTAATTCAAAAGGCAAATCAAAATTAAAAAATTAAATTGAATGATTCGATTTTTTGGCATAAAAATTTAATTTATTCAATTTATAATGGCCCGATTTAACTTAAACCAACAGAATCCCGCCCCTTTTTGCTGGCTACTGGTTAGTGGTTAGTGGTTACTGGTTACTGGTTACTGATTATCACAGTAAGTAGAGAACAAAAATCAAAGGCTTATCCTCATTTCTCCAACTCCATAAACAATGGCAGTGTCCTTACACCAGGCTTACCCTTACCTCTCCACCTTCAAATCCACTTTAATACCAACTCGCCCCGACTCATACCGACTCGCTTCTTATTCAGTCAAGTGCTCCGTTACAACCACCGATTCCCGCCGAATCACAGTCAAGAACGGAAACGATTCGCTAGACATATGCCGAGTCTTGAATGGAATGTGGCAGACAAGCGGCGGTTGGGGCAGTATTGACCGAGACAACGCCGTTGACGCTATGCTCCAGTACGCCGATGCCGGACTCACCACATTCGACATGGCTGATCACTGTAAGTAATTAATACCTGTCTTTTTTAGTTTACAACTGGTTCCTTGTGATTTATGTAGTGGCCACGTAATTTTCTTCTTCTTTTCAATTATGTCCTAATATCTGTTACTTGAATTGCATGGTGGCCACTCACTTAATGTTCTTTTTCAATAACGTCCCCAGATATTGGATAAAGTTAGTTGAATTGTAATTTTTGTGTGTTTGTGTTTAAAAGGTCATAAATTTATTTATCCTCAAAATCAAATTGTCTCCTTTCTCTGTGTTTAGAAGGCTATAAATTTATTGCAAAGATATACAATACATTTATTTTTGTGTGTCTCCTTTCTCTGGGGTCTTCTTTTGAAATGGTAGAGTTGATTATACACAATTCTTTTAGTAACTTCAGCTTTAAACCACTCAAAGTGGGAACTAGAAGAAGAGTTTTTGAACTAAGGAAACATTGTTTGAAGCCATTGAAATGTGTATTAAATGAAGATAGTAACCGGAGAATTGTAGTGAAGAATGGGAAAGATTCATTAGATATAAGTAGAGTGGTGAATGGGATGTGGCAGACAAGTGGTGGCTGGGGCAAGATTCAACGTGATAAAGCTGTTGATGCTATGCTTTCTTATGCTGATTCTGGATTGACTAGTTTTGATATGGCTGATATATGTAATTGAGTTGCAAAGAATTTAGCTTTTCTTTTTGTACTTTTGATTGATATGGTCAATTGACTAAACCTTAAAGTATATTTGTGAGGTCACCAGTTTCATTATTTTAATGTTGCAGATGGACCTGCTGAAGATCTTTATGGCATTTTCATCAATCGAGTTCGCCGAGAACGTCCGCCTGAGTTGTTGGATCAGATTAGAGGGTGAGTTAATTAACCTGATTTGTGAGGCCTTGTTGCTGTGGTTTGATCTTTGATGGATGATATATCATCAATCAATATGCACATTAGTTTACTTGGATGAGATTATTGTATTATGCTTATTCATCATATTATGCAATGCAGTCTTACCAAGTGGGTGCCACCACCAGTTAAGATGACAAGTAGCTATGTCAGGCAGAACATCGATATTTCACGAAAAAGAATGGATGTCTCTTCCTTGGACATGCTTCAGTTTCATTGGTATTTGTTTCCCTTTCCTACTTGTTCTTTTTTGTTGATGTCTCTGGATGGGACAATCATTCCTATGATATGCGTTTTTCCCCTTAATTTTATTGTGTTACATATTGTTTGAATTCAAAAGTCATAATAAGGAGCCAATTATCCAAATTTGATGTAGCTTAATAAACTTAAGATACCCTGCAATTTTTTTTTTCCATCGGCAATAAGTACTTTATGACAATCTGTAGATATTACTATGGTATTTCAGATGAAAATTCTGTATGTATTGATAAATAGGTGGGACTATTCCAATCCTGGTTATATTGATGCTCTTAAACACCTAACAGACCTAAAAGAAGAAGGTAACAATTGTTTTAGTTTGTTTTTTTATTTAAATGCTAGTCCATATCCATATGTATCGATTTGATTGCGTTCCTCCATTAAGTGGCTTGCAGGTAAGATTAAGACAGTTGCTTTGACAAATTTTGACACTGAGCGATTACGAATAATTCTGGAAAATGAAATCCCTGTTGTTAGCAATCAGGTGAATCTTTAAAATTTCAACTTCGAGCATTTTGCAAAACAATATTTTCTTGTATATAATAGCTGATTGTAACCGCTATGCTATTCTTTTGTCAGCTGTTCAACTTTAAGCATCTTGCAAAAAAAAATGTTTGTCTGTATATGATAGCTAATTGTAACTGCTATGCTATGCTTTTTTCAGGTGCAACATTCAATTGTCGACATGCGTCCTCAACAGAAAATGGCAGAGCTTTGTCAACTTACAGGGGTTAAACTAATAACGTATGTCAGACACCCTGTGTGTACCTTTGTCTCCACAAAGATACACTCTTTCATAGCATGATGAAGATTGATAGAAAAATAACTTATTTTTCTGAGAGATGTGATTTTACATTTTTCTTTTGCTCATATCATTTCAATTTCAGTCATTATATTTGTTTGTTTAAAATCTAACCAGTAAGGTTCCTATTAATACAATTTTTATGAGAAATGCAGGTACGGGACAGTAATGGGTGGGCTGCTATCTGAGAAGTTCCTCGATACCAACTTAACCATTCCTTTTGCGGGGCCTCCTTTAAACACACCTTCCCTACAAAAATACAAAAGGGTATGTATGATGTAAGAAAAATGAGTGCATCAACACTTTTTTACAGTTGCAATGTCCATAGATAAATTCAATAGTCTACCGTTATGGCTGTATATTCTTGTTTTCCCTCTGTTTACCATTGCTGTTTGAGAGATTAGTCTTACTTTATTTATTTGTAGTCCTCACAAGAATCAATACATGTTTTTTTTAAGCCTGTGTTACAAATATGATAGATGGTGGATGCTTGGGGAGGGTGGGGTCAGTTCCAAGTTTTGCTGAAGACACTAAACCAGATAGCATCTAAACATGGAGTCTCAATACCGACTGTTGCCGTAAAATACATATTAGATCAGGTAATTTAATTCACCATGTATGTTTTTCATTAACAATTATAGATCTTATTCTCCTATCATTATTCTGATATGGGTTGTTCAACTGCAGCCAGCAGTGGCGGGATCAATGATAGGCGTTCGGCTTGGTTTGTCGGAACATATAAATGATGCTAATGCTGTGTTTTCATTAGCTCTTGACGAAGAGGATGTAAATAGCATACGAGAAGTTTCCAGTAAAGGAAAAGATCTGATGAAAGTCATTGGTGACTGTGGAGATGAATATAGGCGCATATGAACTGTAATTTTGCATGACCTTCTTATTGTTGTTGTCATTTTCTGTATATTTCTCATGAGATAGGTTTTGAAATATATGTTTTTGCGATTGAAATTTTAGAAGATATTTCTCAATAAATATTCAGTGGTAATTTTGCATATCAATTGATTCCATCATCCAGAGTTTTATGTATAACGTGTGTGTGTGTGTGTGTGTGTACATATATTTGTATTAACACCTCAAACTGGTGTCTCTACTGTCTACGTGAAAAGTATATAATTTTTCTTTTTTTATATATGATATTAGGTGGAAGCCTGCGAATTGCGCGGATGGTCTTCTTACTTTATTATTGTACATTATATCAGAGGTTGCTTTTTTTGTTGTACATATAAAATAAATATTTATATAAAAATAAATCATAAAGAAATAAAAAGAAGCAAATAAAAATATTATCAAAGATATACATATAAACTAACATATAGTAGCACATTATACATAGATATATCCAGAATTTTTGCAAATAAGCACAAAGACAATAGTAAAGATATGTAGATATAAAAATATAAATATAAAATTATAAAATTATATGGACAAAAAAAATTAAATACTCGAATTTAAAACTAAAAAAAAATCAAATGGCAATATAGGTAATTATTTTAAATAAGTACTAATTTTTAAACTTAAAAAAAAAATATATCTTAAATGATCTAATAAAAAGTTTCAAAATTGAAATTGAATATAGATATTGATAATTATCATAAATAAATATTAATTTTAAAATATAATCATTAGATATAATTTTCTAATATTTAGATAATAAAATTAAATTTTAAATGATAAGAATATTAGGTATCTCAGGATATTGATTAATTATCATAAATAAATATCAATTTTAAAATATAATCATTAGATATAATTTTCTAATATTTAGATATATAAAAATTAAATTTTATAAATTGATAAGAATATTAGGTAATTCTCATTTTTAAAATATAATCATTAGATATAATTTTCTAATATTTAGATAATAAAATTAAATTTTAAATGATAAGAATATTAGGTATCTCATCTTTTTAAATTATTAAATGTATTTATTTTTTAATTTATCAAATGTTATATTATTGGTTCCCTTTGTTATTTTAAATGTATGTATTAAATTTAATGTTTAGATTTCTCTTTAACCTCAAGCATAACAAATAAAACAAAGAGCAAAATAATAATAATAATAAATGAATAAATAAATAAATAACTGACCTTTCATTCATAAGTATAAAAACTACACAAATAAATTGGAAAAACTCCTAACAAACATACTCACATCATACAACTAATTGCACAAAGATAGAAAATAAGTTATCGAACTAATGAGATTTAATTAATATCCGTCATTTCTCTGCTCCTATCTTTGCCTCTATATCCACTTCTTTCTTTCTGTATATGTATCATTTCATAAAGTTAAAAAATTCTGAAAAAGAAAAAAGAATGAAAGAACAGACTAGAGAATTAAATTAACATTACTGTACCTAGAAAAAAAAAAGATACTGTAATATATATGGATTGAAGTTGTTATTATCATCCTTTCGCTATTCAAAATCTGAAAAACAACAACATATACATGAAAATAAAAAAAAAATAGGCAAAACCTAGCAAATAAAAACAAAATAATTGAAAGAAACAACAAAAAATTAGAAGAAAACCATTGTGAAAATAATCATTGAAAGAGGTATATATATAGGTATATTGATAAGAAAAAAATTCAAAAGTTTTTAAAGCTCTAAATTTAAAACTTCAAAAGTTTTCACTCTGTTTGGATGGAGGTATATTTTTAAAAGAATCAAAATAGCTGAGGAAAATAATCGTGGATAACAATTTTACGTTGTTTGGAAAAGAAGGAAAAATATAGAAGGAAAAATCAATTTATTTTCCTCTCTATCTCAACATAAATAGAATCTCTCCATTTGGGAAAGAAAATAATAGTGTAATGTTAAAATTTCTCCAATTTTTATGCAATTACCCAAAAACCCAAATTACTTTTAACTAAATATTAAAGTAATATAATCATTAAAGCCCTCTAAAAGGATAAGTGAGGTTAAAATGGCAATATATCAATATTAACAATTTTTTTCTCTAAAATTTTGCCTTTTCCAAACAAAAAAAAAAATTTATTTCCTTATTGTTTTCGTTCATTATCCAAACACAATGTTGGAAAATAACAATATAAAGAAAAATAACAATTCATCGTTATTTTCCTTCATTATTTTGATTCATCTTCTTTCCAAACAGAATGTTATAATTTTAAATTCAATAATTCAAAAAGTTTAAAATTTTAATTATTCAAAGTTTTAGAATTTAGATATAGGTATATATAGAAATGAAAATAGAAATGCTCAAAAATTATTAAAAATTTAGAAAACTTATAAAAAAAGAGAAAAAAAGAGAAAAACAATACTCAAACATGGGAATGTCACGTGCTTTGTAAAGACTTTTTTGGTTTCAGGATTATATTTATAGATATATAGATTCCTTTCATTTAATCTTTTTTTTACCGTTTAAGTAGGGATGTGCAATCAATAGGTTGATTTCAAATCAAACCAAACCAATAAAATCGAGAACTGAACTGCTCTTTCTTTAAATGGAATTGGAATCAAACTATGTTCAAAACCAGTTGGTAGATTCAGTTCATTTTTTGATAAACTTACTTTATTTTCTGTAATTGAAACTGAAATTATTTGAAATTATAAACTAAGGGGTGTATTGAATTAAGATTGTGTTAGATTTTAAAAGAATTATTGAGTTTGATGGAATTGAGGATTTTCTAAGATTTTCACATATTCCACTAAAATTTTACATAAAGTTCTATGGAATTGATGGAGATTTTCTAAGATTTTCACATATTCCACTAAAATTTTACATAAAGTTCTATGGAATTGATGGACATGTTTTTATAGATTTTTATTGACTTTGATGAAATTATAATGACTTTTATATATCTAATCAAAATTAATTTCAGGATCTAATTAAACAAATTAAAAGGTTTTGAGCCTAATTGAAAAATTGAAAATAATGAGGGACCAAAAATCAAAATATGTCATCTTCTCCAAAATCGTTTTCTTCTTCGTTAAAAACTTACGGTCATCGACAATGAAAGACCTATAATAGTCAGCATAGCCGTCGTCTCACGCTCTAGGATAGTCGCGATGTGGTCAAAAGACCACAGATTTGCTCATCCCTTGATTGAACAACGATCGTCTCGCTGAAAAATCACAGGTTTATATATATAATTAGTAACTACTGCCAACTAGGACCTGTGCTGGCTATAGAGCTTGAGTAAGGAGGTGGCGCACATCTAGACAAGCCTGATGCAAGGCCTGCCGCCTGCGGCTCACGTAACCTGGCAGTTTGGCCATAACAATATCGGACTGTATTCTTCAATTCTTTGATTATTTCAAAACTATTCTAATTTTTTTTATTTGAATTAATGTTTAATTGAAATCAACATATAAAAATTCATGAAAATAATCAAATTAAACTGTAAAAAATTTGTAGCAGTATTAATATTAATTTTGTCAAAATATCAAAAAACTGTAAAAAATTTGTAGCAGTATTAATATTAATTTTGTCAAAATATCAAATTCTCAGTACATGAATTAATTCAATGATTAATACATTGCTTTAAACCTTAAGAGGTATATTAGATTAAGACTCTGTTAGATTTTAAATGAAATTTGAGTTGGAGGATGAATTTGTGAATAACTTCTCTATTCCTACTTAGTACTCTAAAATCCAATGAGACTAATAATTTTATAGAGCCCTTCAAAATGAGTAATTTTTTGAATACCATCAAATTTGTATGGATTTTTAAAAGTCATAGTTGAATACCATCATATTTTTATGGATTTTATAAGAGTCTGAATTGAATACCATAAAAATACCATAAAATTTATACTTCAAAAAAAATTCTAAGACCGAATACTATTGGAATTTTAAAAAATCTTTTTAAAATCTAACGAAGTCTTTAATTCAAACTCCTTAAATTAAATATTACTAAAATTGAGCTAACCATAATTAAATCAATTTCGGTCAATCTTTAAATCAATCTGTGCAAACCTCAAATTTGTATGGATTTTTAAAAGTCATAGTTGAATACCATCATATTTTTATGGATTTTATAAGAGTCTGAATTGAATACCATAAAATTTTAATAGACTTCAAAAAAATCTAGACCGAATACTATTGGAATTTTAAAATCTTTTAAAATCTAACGAAGTCTTAATTCAACTCCTAAATTAAATTAACTAAAATTGAGCTAAAAACATTAATTAAATCAATTCGGTTCAATCTTTATCAATCTGTGCAAACCTGCCCCTACTACTGAGATAAACTATCGTTTTCTTTGAAAAAGACTGTAAAGGAAGGGAGCTGAGCTGGATTTTCAAAGCCTAACTTTCTTTTTTACTTCCTAGGTTCAGAGTTTCATTACGAGCCTACTTTAATCTAATAGATCCAATCTAACGATTATCCCTTTTCAAGATGGAGAAATTTAAGAGTTTTTAATAAAAATAATGCACTTTGAGAATAAATTTTTCAAAGTGATACAAAGCTAAAACAATTGTTTGTACTTTCATACAATGAAATAATTGCAGTAAAATTGCGATTTCAACTTGTGGTTTCAACGCAGAATCAAAAGCTGCTTGTTCTGTTCAATAGTGAAAATTAAGCAAAAGAATAATACTTCCTCCATTCTTTTTATATAAGGACAACTGATTTTTCACCAATATTAAGGAATTGGAAAAATTATAATCATACTCCTATATTTTGCAAACTTAACTACTTTACCTTTGTATTTTTTTTAAAATACACTTTCATGCCCTCATGGTTTTAGTCCGTTAAACATTGTTCCCCTTCCGGCCATTTTATGCACTCTCACACGTTAAATTGTTATAAAATGACTTCAATGACCCTAACTAAAAGATAAAATCAGTTTTCTTCTGAAATCAATTTTGTGTGTTGTCAGAATGTCGCTAGTGTTGTTGCTCACAGGGGCCGGAAAACTGGGTTATCTCAAAACTTTCAACCTAACCACCAAAATGATTAGAATCTTATGGAAAACTCAATTTTTTACATCCATTTTCCTTTTTGATTACCAATTACTGATATCAATAAATTCTCAAACCCCAATACTTTTAAAACTCAAATTTCACCAATCTTCCATAAAACTAAAATTTGTTAAGAAAAAATATCACCTAACAAAACCACAACAAACTATTTCTCTTTCTCTCTTCAAAATATCCAACTTTTATAAATTAATTTTTTTAAAAAAGAAAACAAAATAAAATGAGAGCTATTAGAGAGAGAAAAATTTGTTCGTATTTTGTCTCTAAATTGAAAATCATAAACTTATTATTATTTCAACAATAATAATAAGGAAGAAGAAAAATTTCTACTACTATATTAATTACTGATGATATTAATATATATTTTTCAAATCTTACCACCGAATACCATCATCTCTTTTTCTTTTTACTCTTTTTCTTCTTTTAGAGAGATAAAAGTAGAGAGAGAAAGTTTTGAACTTGTTTGCAGTAAGAGAAAGAGAGGAAGAAGAAGAGGGTATTTTGGTGAAAAAGAATTTTCTCTCTCTTTGGGCCATTATTTTTTTTTTACGTGTTCTTTAAAAGAGCAAAAAATGGATGGAAGGGGTATTGGATGTAATGGACCTAAAAACATGAGGGTATAATAGTGTATTTTATAAAATACAAAGGTAGAGTAGTTACTTTCAACAAAACATAGGGGTACAATTATAATTTCCCCTAAGGAATTAGTTAAACTAACTTTTTTATTACCCCTAAAATCACATTAACTACTTCTCTAAAATGAAAATATCATTCATTTATTTATGTTTTATGGATTAATATAACTATAAATGTATTGTCTCTCTTAAATTTTAGAGGGATTAGTTGTGTTGGATGCTCAGTTAATGAGATATTAACCAATAACATTAGAAATGAAAATTCAAAAATTTGAAACTTAATTTTGGACTCTTCATTGAATTTTTCTACGCGCAAAAATTAACCAAAATTTTAAGAATTAGTTTTTTCATTTGAATTATAGAGTCTGGTCAACTTCATAAAAATATGGGCACATAAATTTTGACTGAAATCCAACTAGGAATTACAATCCACAACTTTTTTTCTTCCAGCATGAATCCATCATATCAATTAGATATTAATGATTTTCCTTGAGACTCGTCCACAAACTCAAAAGTTGTGCCCATATGCAATGAACTTCGAATCGATTTAAACGTTCTTTAATAGAAGAAGATGTTGTCACTAGAGAGATAGTCGAAAATCATTCATCTGGAAATGCAAGAAAGGCAAACAAACTAAAAAATATCTCTGAAGATTCAAAATTTAGTCAAAACACTGTTATTGAGTGAGATGCAAAAAGGTTCATTAAGTGTGGGAAAATGAAAAAGTTGCAACCATTTTTTCCATATCCAAGAGGTTAGTGTATGGGATTTGGGATAATGCAAAGATGGACACAGACAATCAAAGTGCAATGAAATGCTCATGGGATAGGGGGACGCAAATGTATGAAAATAACTCCTTCCAAAATTTTAGAAATCCCTGTAAGGCCGGGGATTATAGTTCGTGTCTTAGCACATGACTTGAGTTCATCCATGTTACATGTACACAAAATGATTAAAAAAAGAGAAATAAAGAAAAAAAAATATTCAAATGCAATCAAGCAACTGTTGAAGGAAGAGAACAAAAGAAACAGGGTTCAATTTTGTCTAAATATGCTCGATCCAAGTAAAATTAACACTAGATCTTCTTTTAAAAGCATGCACAATATAACACATGTAGATGAAAAATGGTTCTACATGTGTAATGAAACTCGGAAATTTTACCTATTTTCAAATGAAGGGAAGCCACAACGGCAATGTAAAAGCAAGAAATTTATACCAAAAACCATGTTTCTTGTTGCATAAGTTGAAATATCAGGTAATTACTGTAGATGGTATGGTATGGCCTCCACATTCATTTTTTCCCATACATATCTTGAAATCAATAGGTAAAAGAATAAGTTCAGTTATTTTCATCCAAGCTGCATTAATAAACCCAAGGACCTAGAAGTTTAAGCAATTAATTTGAAGAACTTTACCGTCTGGCATTTGTTTTTACTTTCTCATTGTGATTACACAATGGAGAGCTAAACTTATATTCTTACCATAATCTAATCTTCTCTAATCTATTAACTGCATGTTTTTGTTATTTTGTCCAGGAGAAGGTTGGAGTCCTTAAAGCAGGGAATAGAGAAAGAAAGATGTGATTAAGGCTGAGCCAACTTCAAGTTCAACAACCAAAAGATGGTCCTTCTGGTGAGGGTTTGTGCTGCATACTGTATAGTATCAATTTTTTTTTGATGAATCCCTCAGTGACCTGTGATAATACAGAACATAATACAGTTAAAAATGGCAAGATTTGAAGTTAACTATATGCATTAAAACTCATAATTATATTTTCCAAGTCCTGGAGCAGTTTTTGCTTGTCCTTCTTAGGGATTGTGCTTATCCTGCATAAGATGTAACATGGATCAATATCTTGCTATAAAGAAAAACCATAAATATCTAACTCTAACAGAAAGCAAATTGCAATATTATTATGGTGGTAATTTTTGATAAAAGCTTTGAAGTCTAATATTTAATTGTTTAAATAATGTTTATATATATTTTAATTTATTTTCACGATATTTCTTAAAGTTTATAAATAGACCTAAAGGCCTAATACACTTATTTACCCTTACTTTGAATGCTCTCTATCTTTATGTTGTGAAGATTGCACCCTCAAACAGATTTTTGCATTCAAATTAAGTTCAATTTTAAATTTAGGTCAAATTAAGACAATATTTTTATTTTTTGATCAATTGAATCCAATTTTCATTCAAGCAAAATAAACAATTATTTTCAGTTTTTTTTTTAAATATGAAAATCAAAAATCAAAAATTAAAAAAAAAAAAAAAAGATAAAGATAAATAGCAGTGGGAATAATATACATGAAGGATACAAACTCTTCTACATATTTTGATATCATAAAAGTTCAACAGCCATCATAGTTGTACATATTTCATTTAAAATATTAATGATAACTCAAGATAATCATAGTTTTATTTATTTATTTATTTATTTTCATTTTTGTATATTTTAATCATATCCAATTAAAAGACGAAAATTTAAATATAAAAGAAAACAAAAAAACAAATCCAATTTTTAATTCGGCCTTATTGGACTTAATTGAATCAATTGAAATAGCTGACAATCAATCTAGAGTAAAACTTATAAGTTACTAACTTGGAAATTGGGTACAATAATAATACAATTAAAAATTGACCAAAAAACATTAAATAAAAATATGAACTAATCTTACTTGTATCAAAGCTAGTTGAGTTGTTATCTTTTCATTTTCTTTTTCCTCCAAAGTTCAAGGATAGTAGTCTAGATAGAATAGCTATTTTTTGAGATGTCATCCTAACCTAGCTGAACTACAATTGCAGGAACTCCAGTACAAGCTTCTAAAGCAGACGCTCACAAAGAAGACATAAAAACCATCTTATCCCACAGCAAATTAGAGGACAGAAGTAGTTTCTGCAAAATTGCTTGTTCCCCTCCATCCCAAAGTTCCATAGGATTGCAAAACAAAGCTAAATTTCGCAGATTTTAGCATCTTTCTACCACCAAACCTCTCAGAAAAAAAAAAATAAAAAAAGACCTTCTCCAAAGAGAATTTTCACCTTTTTAATAAGAATCTGTTATTGCTGGAGGGAAGGAAGTTTTTGAATAATAGCCACACCCATAATCTTGTTTTAGCCATTTGCAGAGATCGGTGAGTTAACTCTAGGACTCCTTTCTTTAAGCAACATGATACTTGGTTCCTTTTGGTTATTTTGAGAACAACTTCAGCAGAGTAAAAACTGAGTTCACTTATTGGTCCCTCTGACATCAGCTTCCTTCACATGCCATTATAATCCACCTTAAAATTAGCAATGTTATGATAACAAAGAATAAAAGTGTAGGAGATATTACAGTAGAACAATTGTCAGGAACTTTGCTAGGCAAGAAAATGATAACTTGAAAACAATACCATCCCTGGGGGCTGGGAGGTGGTTTTTCAACAGATAATCGATTACAACATTAATTCTAAACGAGACCTTGCAGCATACCTAAGATTATCTTATACTAACGACCACTTGTAACTTAAGACAGACATTACACTCTGAATCATTGTAAGAACTAGGAGGATGATGGCAGAGGACAATGAGATAAATGACCATGGACTGCTAAAGTAAGTTCGTCTCACAGTTGCCCAATTGCTGCTGTAGTAAGACTCAACTTCTTTGAATTGCTTAGAAAGATAACAATCTCTAACATTGAAATCAGCATTCTGTCCAAGATTAGTGAAAAGATCAGCAACGTATTTGTCATCTTTTGAAAACCTATTGATGATTCCGTCGTAGCAAAGGAATGCTACATCTCTTGGTTTGCTGATGAGACAACTCATGAAAGATACATAATCTGTGAAGTAATTCAATCTCTTATCTTGGCATTTTTCTAAAGCTACACAGTTTATGAGAAGTGTACTTGTGAAGTCATTGATGGTAATAGATGGAATTTGTAGCACTCTATTTTGGAAATTTATATCCAAGAAACTGTCTCCTCCTTTTCTGGACTTAAACTTTATTCCTGATTGTCTAAGTTGTGTGACACATTGTATTGACTGATCTGATGGGAAATATTCCTCAAAATCAGTACAATGGGTTACCGAGTTTGAAGTAACAAGACTTGAATAAAGTAGGTGAAGTAAATGCTCACCTTTGTAGAGCAAGAATCTGTTGAAATTTTCCATGGGTCTTGGAAAGGCTAGATCAAAGGCTCTCAAGGCAAGAATAGGTAAGGGACGTATTTCTTCTTTTAAGTCACTACCACTACCAGATAATTGATATAGCAAGTCTAGAACAAAATAAGGAAGCTGATTCTCAAGCTTCAGGAGATCCCTGACGAGAACTGGGATCAACCAGGGTCTTGTGAAGATTGGATCATCTTCCTCGATTGTGTCTACGCCATGGTTGAGATGGCGTAAAAGTTCAAGAATGAAGCAACCATCAAGCAATATCATTTCAATGAAGTCATGACTTGACATTGGAATAATTTCTGAGTAGCAGTCTCTGACATTCCCTTCCTCTTTCTTTAATCTGCTAAAATAGTGGCGTAAGCCCTTTCCGAAAAGACTCGATCGAGAAAGGAACTTTTCAAGGAAGTGCCATTTATGCTCTTCGAACTCAAGTAAATGATCTTTACCTCTATGATAAGGTCCTATTGATACAAGCTCAGGCTTTGAAGCATGTGGATTGATTTCAACAAGACTCGAAGGAAGCCTGAAGATAGATGAAGTCATACCATTTCCTTGTTTCACTAGTTGACGCCTTTCCCGAAGACGACGCTCCATAAGAAATAAAGAATTCTTTAAAGCTGATTCTTCTAGTTCAAGTTCCTCTTGGCTTTGGATTTGAATTTCAGGTGGTGCAGGAATTTGATAGTCATGTTCTTGATTTAGGTTTGACAATGCTTGAATTTCTTGGACTTGCTGATTTTGCTCCTCTTCATTAGTTAGGCTTGAACTTGCATCACTTGTTAAGGATTTCCCTTTCCTTTTCAAGTTACTCAAATTCTCTCCTTCCTCAACATGTTCATCAATAGTAATAGCTTGGTGTTCCATATCCCTATGTGATTACAGGGACTGTGGTTTTTTGGTGATTGGAATTAGAAGCTCAACAAATTATTATACATATAATTTGAGATCTTCAGATTATTGCCATTTCCTTGAAAAGGAAGAAATTAATACAATGTAATAAGATTCTTCCCAGCAGCTAATGAAAGCATGACTTGTATCAGCTGATGAACTGAGAGTCAATAACTCTGTTGGCTTATTAAGGAAGATAGACTTGACTTGACTTTTTCTCTGAGCTGTTGACTTAACTTTTCTATATTATTTTTCTTTTACGTTGTGAAAGCATATTTCATTCATTTATTAAAATACAAAGTGGGACTGGTCTAAGCATGTACGCGGAAATTATCAGCTTACTCTTGTTCCTAGAGCTCCAAATAAAGCAACTGATTTGTAATTGAATTGGCAAAAAACATCCTCTTCAATATTTTTATTCCTCCCTCCCAAAAGAAAATTAATAATTAATTACTTAATTAATTAAGTACTAGTTAACAGGAACAACTCTAATTTTTCTCACAAAAAAATGTTGGAGACGAGATTTGAACCCATGACTTTTTTATTTAAATATTTAATCAAAAAGAAAATCGGAAGTGGATTCAAATAGTAAGATACTTTTGAATTTAACGAATAATCTTTTTATGTAGAGAGCAAAGTCATAAATTTTGAGATGAGATTAGTCTGGTTTTATTTAGATATGAGAATATTCGTAAATAAATAAAAATAGAAATATCCATTTTGAATATAAGGATATTTGTGGGTCAAAAAATAAAATAATAATAAAGAGTACTTGGAACTTATCTAATATAATGTATTAAAATACTCAAATTATATTATAATTTCACTCTATTTTAATATTTATATCAATTTTACTCCAATTTTAACTTGCAATTAACAAGAAATGAATCGTATGTCACACTCCTTTTTGACACTCCCTACTAAATATGATTGTAGATTTGTAGCTCTGAATCTAATAGTGTATAATTTGTTTGCAAATGAAATGAGTTGAGTTGAGCTGAGCCGAGCCAAACCAAGTTGTCATTCAATGAGTGGTGAAACTCCTCCCCACTACGTCGCCTTTCGACCTCAACTTCTATAATTTTACTTATTTGATCAAGTGATGGAATCCCAAAGGATCTCTTTCTTTAAATTTGAACAAATTGAGTATGCATCTACATTGTATTTCAGAAGAAAATCAGTGATCAGATAAGGAATACAGGAAGCAGTCATCAATTATCATTTCAGTTAAAAAGGAAAGAAAATGTATTTACAAGTTAGTTGCCAATATACATCGAACAGATAACTTATGAGCAAGTATAAATAAGCATTTGTGGGGACAAATTCATTATCAGAATTTCCTCCCATTCTTTCCTTCCACTGCAGCAAATAAATCAGAGAAGGTAATGAGAGCGAATGTAAGTTAAAAGGCTTGACGATCAATATGTGTCATCATGCTTCCAACCTTAAAAGGCGATGACAACTTTTCGTCAATTTGCACTAAATGCTCCATTTTCGTCGATTTACCACCTCAGAGACCTCTTTCAATTGTCAAGAAAAAGACCAACATGTCAAAGAACATGATCGCTTTCTTCCAAGTGTTATCTTAGACGTTCTTTGACGTCTCAGCAGGTTGCCTACAATATCTGAATTGAATACAGATAAGCAGAAGTGGACTTACTTTACCAAGTCCAGTGGCCATAGGCAGGCAGGCAGCCGAGCAGCATGAAGTTTAGTTGTGTTCTATGAATATGAAACATTTGAGGCCAACAGCTATTGAACTTCTAAAATCCATGAAGTGCACTCTTGAAGGAGTTGAAACTTCTGGTGAATTGCTACATTTAAGAAAATCTGCATTTTCCTGCGGAATTCAGACACATCTTCCTTGCATCTATATGATCCAGCACATGCACATTGTTCTGCTAAATGTGCAGCTTTAACCTGGTTGCACCTTGTGCACACCAGGTCCTGTAAATGATAGAGACGTTCCCTTTGCCGGACAATTTGAAGAAGAGCATTCTCCATCACCTCTCGGTTATAAGGCTGGCCACACTGTGGGACAGCACAACGCCACTCCTGAGCCAGTAAGGCCGAGTCACGACACAAGTCCAGATCTCGGCAGTCGTTGCAGTAGCTGTCCAAACGTATTTGAGAATCAGCAATCACTGCCAAACTAATTGAAAACTTAAAAGTAAAGGCTAAAATCAATTTCAACCTTGTAAGATTTCAAAAGGGGATAAACTAAATAGGAAAGAAATTAAACTCAACAACTAACTCCATCTTACTTGTTCACCTCTGCATAGTGTCTTGACTAAAAATATGTTTTGAGAGACCTAGATTATGAATTCTGCTACATTTTCCCACAGATTGTGCAACACTTAAGCCAAAGAGATTCATAGTAATTCAATTGTCAATGTTTGGAGAGGGCAAGTTACAATGCTTACAAGGTTTGTGGAACCACTCTTTCATGATTACCCAAGTAAGGCAAATTTGTTTAACAGTTGCATGTTTCATTCTCACAAAATTGAAGCATTATTTTCTGTATTTGCACTTGAAATTTTAAAATAGTTGTTTCTGATGGATTAAGTTCAAATATTTGTTGTTGTTCTCATACCTGCAAATTACATTTGGCAAGACAAAGGAAGGGCAGGGGTCATGAAACTCAGCTTCAGGAGCAAATTCCCGCACTCGTACATATTTTAATAGATTTTTTCTCATCACCTGCAAAATAGCAGAAAATGATTATAATCACAACATGGTTTAGACAAGCCTTTATGACAGTTTTATATCTTTTCCAATTGGCTCTAACAATCGGCATCGTTCTCAGTCGAAATTTTCTTGAAACTAAAAAATTTCTAGCACATCAACTGGAAACTCTGGAACCAGTTATCAGAAAGCAAGGATCCTTCAGTTCTAAGTTTGTTAATCCGTGTATATGCAAGTCAAGATAAGTTATATCAATAGAACACAAAACAATCTGCCCATAATTGATATTATGTCAGCATGAGGCAGAATTATTACATACGTCAAGTTGCTAAGAAATGTACTTCCTACATTTCTTTTAACATTTTGATGCCAATAGAGACACCATGTTGGGATATTAACAGGAACATAGTATGAGATCAGGATCCAAAACTTCTACAACATGATTGATGGCTGCAATGTGCTCAAAACAAAATCAGATCTAGGATTTCAACAAGTCTTGGGTTTGTCAAGATTGCACATGGAAAGGAAATACTTAACATAAACAATTTACAGGCATTCTTAAGCCCCACAATTTTTTGAAGCTTGGTAAAAAGTAGAATATATAGAAGAAATTGGTCTTGATAAGGAAACTTGCACGTTTAAGCAAAGCAGGTGTGAACAAATTGGGAGGTTAAATTCATCCAAGAAAAAGTGAAACCGTTGTGAGATTATGAGAAACATTTTATTATTTTTTGGACAGTATACCCTAGCCATAGAGTTCAAAAGAGGAGGGAAACGAACAACTAAAGTAAACCTCCACAAGAGTTTGAATCAAGAAAAAAGTGAGAAAGGAGTATGGTGGTGGGGAAGATAAATTTTGTACAAATTATATAAGCGGACAGAAGAAGGCAGTAAAGAGAGGAGATAGGCAACTCAACAAATAATAATTGACAAAAGAACACCCACACGTGTGCACATCAAGTTTCTTGGATATCGAAATCATATAAGTGAACATCTAGTGCCTTCATGGTTTATTCTGGATCATTTAATGCCAAATCAGTCAAACAAAAATTACCAGAACTTCATGCTGCACATTATTGTCAAGGGCCAGAACAGCACAGACATGCTTAATGAATTCCAATGCAGGATCCCCTTTAGGAATGCTACCCCCAATCTGTGAAAAACCAGAAGAAATTTGTCTTTCATCCTCTGGCTTGTTTATCCCCTTCATATGAAGAAGAGTATCACGAACAATTCCAAGAAGTTTGTCTGTGAAGTAAGTGCTGATCTGTACACGTTCAAATTAGATGTATGTGATTTATAACTTGTATATAAGAATGATCTAACAAGTGATTAGAAAATAGTATTATCATTAATACCTGCCCTTTAAGGTGTTCCACCAAGTGCGATTCAAATGTCTCAGCAGCTGCAATGGTGATTGATGGAGTACATGAGCTGACATCCTGCAAAGATGCTCTCTTTGCATCTTGCTTTTGAGCATAATCCCAGGGAATAAACATAAATTCTGAAACAATTAAAACAAAATGATCCTGCAAAAGGCAATCAATACTCACCATATGAGGGAAGGATTACAAAAAAGACAATTGAACAAATAAGGACATGGTTAAAGAAAAATAAAATCTAAAGACTAACAAAAGGTGCATGACTGTGTTATTATCAAGTAACCAAACAAAACTTTATTAGTTAATCAATGATGTTCCACCTGAATTTTCTTGGGCAAGTACTCTGCAATATTCCAGCTTGATACAATATCCACTTGTGATTGATCTCTTTGGGAATTATCGCCTTGTGATTCATTCGCTGAAGTGTCATCAGCTTTGGCTGGAATTCCACCATAGTTATACTACAATAAAGGAAGCTAAGTAACTGAGTTAATTGGAACACATAAAATTCACAGCAAAATCAATGATTTCTGCAAATAAAGTAGAAACATCTTCATAGTGCCCTGTTTTCAAGTTGGCAACCATTCCAAACCTTCTATTACATTTACAAAATGTCTTCCTTTGTGCGTGTATATAGCAGCCCCCCCCCCCCCGCATAATTCCAGCCTTGAATAACAATATCCACTTTGTGATTGATCTCTTGGGATTAATTCGCCTTGGTGATTCAATTCGCTGAAGTTGTCATCAGCTTTTTGGCTGGAAATTTCACCATAGTTTAATACTAATAAAGGAAGCTAGTAAAACTGGAGTTAATTGGAAACACCATAAAATTCCACGACAGCAAAAATCAATGAATTTCTGCAAATAGTAGAAACAAATCTTCCAATAGTGCCTGTTTTCAAGTTGGCAACCATTCCAACCTTCTATTACATTTACAAAATGTTCTTTCTTTGTGCGTGTATATAGGCCCCCCCCCCCCCCAAACTTTTTTTTTTTTTTTGAAGGCAACAAACTTTTTTTTTTTTTTTGAGGCAACTGTTCGTTACTTGAATATTATTTTTCATTTATTTGTTTAAGAAGAGGAAGCTGAAACAGGGAAATAATGCTGCATCCGTCATTTTGCTTCCGTAATACAATAGGGACCCCAACGAATAGAAACATTTGAAAAATAACGAGGAAAAATATCGGAATAACTTATGCAGGGATTGTCTTTAAGAAATTAAAAAAAAAAAAAATCCAGAGGGGATGAAACCAAACCTGGTCCATAAAAAGCAAGGAATGCCAAAACTGCATAGGTTCAAGCTCAATCCATTCAAATAGTTCTCTACAATGGGCAAAGACAACACTTAATTACAAAACAGAAGACAAAGAAAGATTTATCTACTAGTTCCTGGGTCAAGACAAACCTAGTTTGCAAAGTTTTGAGCAAGCTATCACAGTAAGCTTTTGCTGCAGATAGACTGAACTTTCCAGTGTCTATAATAACCTTTGAAAAATTTGCAAATATGATTGAGGCACCTAATTTGCGAAGTTCAGCCAACAGCAAAGCAAACACCTTTTGCATGACCTGAGCATTTAATGATTGGACAATGTCAACCGAAAGACAGCAAAATAGAGCTACAAAATCACAGAAAAGAATTTTCATATTTCACCGTGTGTGTGTGTATATTTTTCAGGGTGAAGTGGAGGGTGTGGTGGTGGTGGAAAAGAGAATTCTTGCAGCTCAATTATAATTGCAAAACATAGAATCATGATGCAAGGGATCCTGAGCTGCAGTAGCTTTTACCTTGTGGAGTATTCGGTGAAGAGCTGGGTCATGAAGCTTTGATTGGGGGCTGCAATATAACCAGTAAACAGTGACTATGCAACTCAAGAACAAGAGCTGTATAAAACAAGCTATAATGCTACAACCTGCAAAGCCATCGATAAAGATGTTGCAACATTGCATCGGCAAAGACATTGCCCGATGTGACTGCATCTGCAAGGCACCTCTGGATCAGCTGTTTCAGGACACGTAATGCAGGAGCACATGAGGTAGCCTCATCAAAGCCATATTGATCATCTGAAATGTGTGAACCAGAATTTATGTCCTGGTCAAATCCTAACAAAGCACCTCCTTCCAATTCATTCACTTGGTTGCTTTTCAGCAGAGCATTTACAGCCAGGTGATGAATCTGCACAAGAACAATTCACCCATGCCTATATCAGATCAACTCAATTACACACCCATATTTAACATAAGAGAAGAATAGAAAGAAACAAACATAATTTTTTAAAAAAATACAAATTTTTTCAAACCTTTAACTCTACAGAAACTTTTCTATATGCTCCAGGGTATGTAATAACAGGTTGATGGACCTATCATGCGATAACAATAAATTCATGAAAAGGAACAATATAAGCGCCAGGCGTTACAAAGAAAAGTAAGATAGTAATAGACCATTAGAAACAAATTTCACTTTCTTTAGTACAGCTGGAAAGAACCAAAAATAAATGAATAAATGAATAAAGGCATCGATATTTTAGAGGTTGCTTTGCAATTTATATGCATAATGTATCCATTAGAAACAAACCTCATCTGCAAAACAAGTAGATTCTTCACTAATGCCTCCTAGATCTGGAACACCATCATCAGATATCCATAGTAACTGCAAGAATAGTTTTTTACACACAAAAGACAATTGCTTTTAGAAGAAATTGCCACACGGGCCACAGATACCATTGATCTAACAACAAACAAGGAAAAGATAATCTGCCAAGTTAACTATTGTTCCACTAAAGTACCTGTTGCTGATCATGCAGTGCTCTAGACATGAAGACATCTGCTGTAAATATGAGCCAGTCAAGTTCAAAGTTCCCCAGTGGTACCTGTCTCAGCAGATGTGAAGAAGGTTAACTATATGCATCAACAAACATCAATGAACTGAAATTGTTGGTTGCAAACTAAACAAGCAAGCGAATTACATGGGCATATCTTGAAAGAGAAATCCTTTCATTCAACCACTGAGATGATGCCACAGAACGTTGCATTCCAATTTTTGCAGCTGCTTGTTGCCACCCAAGGACCTACATAGTATAGAATATATGAACCACATTGTCGAGTATATGGGTGTAAATGAACCGAGCCGAGCTCGAACCTGCCAGGTTCGAAGCTCGGCTCAATAGAATTTAGCTCAGCTCGAAACTCAACGAGCCTGAAAATTTAGGTTAGGGCTCGGCTCGATGAAAGCTCGAGCTCGGTTCAAGCTTGACTTCAGGTTCGAGTTCAACTTGAAAAATTTTAAGCCCTAGCTCGGCTCGAGGCTCAAATAACCTAAAATAATATTACATATATGTATGTATAAAAGCTCAATAAGGCTCGACGAGCTTTCGAGCTGAACATTATTAGGCTCGACCTCAGCTCGATTGGTAAACGAGCAGGCTCGGCTCATTTACACCCCATTCCGGCTGAACCTTTTCGAACTTTTTTTGAGCCAAGCTTAAATAGTTCACAAGCCGGCTCGGCTCATTTACACCCCAGTCGAGTATATGTATTCTCCACACTACATTCTTTCTTTCTCAAAAAAATTTTCTTTTGTCAACAAAGCTCTTATGTAATTTGCCCATATGCACATACTAACTTATGCATGTGAACAAATTAATTCAGATATAATATTACCGGATACTGACTGTCACGAGCATTGGAAGGTATATTCACACAAGGGAAATTATCAAGAGCTGGAATGCCTGATTTCATCAGCTGAGCATTTGGGCATTCGGTAACAGCAAGTGTAGGTCCATGGTGTTTATCTCTGTTAATAAAGGAAAATATTTGAGACAAATTTAACTTGACGTGCAAAAACAAATGCAACAGCAAATATAACTAGACGACAGCGAAATGAATGACTTCTCATTGGAATAAAAAATCATAGATGCTGCAAGTTGGAAACCTTAAAAGTTAGTGAATAAAAAAGTCACTGCTTGTAAACATTATTATACAATATGGGCATAGATATATGATAAATGAGATGAAGCTTGGGTGAACCAATGTGGAGGGCCCAAACATTGAGTAGTTGTTAAACCATGTAGAACAACATGAGATGGGTAGAGTAACAGAACATATGGCTAGAAGTTATTTCTATAGCAGCATTCAAAATGCCCACACGAACTCAATTCATTATTTCAAGCAATATTAAGCCAGACATCATTTTGGGTTCATATCTATTTTCTCTTTTTTTTTTTTTTTTTTTTTTTTTGCAGCATTCAAAATTGCCCACACGAACTCAATTCATTTATTTCCAAGCAATATTAAGCCAGACATCATTTTGGGTTCATATCTATTTTCTCTTTTTTTTTTTTTTTTTTTTTTTTTCTTTTTTAAGCATCATGTTGACCAGTTTTATTTGTAAGAAAGAGAATACAAAACAGAGGATTAGGCATTCTTCTAGTCTAACACAAAACAATAAAACAACACATAGAAACAAGATTAAGGAAATAGTGCACCCCAACCAAGCAAAACTACAACTGGAGGAACTCCTCTAGAAGCTCCTAAATCAGAAGCCCACATAGAAGACATAAAAACCACCTTACCCACTCAGCAGATTAGAGAACAGAAATGGTTTTTGCAAAATTTTATATCTCCTCCATCCCAATACTCCATAGAATTGCAGAACAAAGCTATAATTTCACAGTTTTTAGCTTCTTTTCTGCCGCCAAACCTTTTACATTTCAAACTAATTCTCTAGAGACTCAGTAAAATCCCTCTCCAAAGACTATGTTAAACAATTACTACAGAGCCCTTCAACCAGACTATCTTCATGCATGGTGCTGGAAATGTCAATAGAGACATCCATATAAGCTGATTACGTTTGACAAATACTAAACTAGCCTACGAAGTGCTGTTGCTATAAAGAAAATCAACATAGAGAAAAACCTGATTTCACTTATTGTTCCCTGTAACACCCTTTGAGCATCCTTCACATACCCAACATAATCAACCTGAAATTAGCAGTATTATGATAAAAAAAAGAAAAAAGAAAAAAGGTAAGAGATATTGCAGGAGAAAAATGGTCAGAAACTTATGCTAGGCAAGAAAAGAATACCTTGCAAACAATACCATTCCTAGGAGGGGGTGGTTCAACAGATAATGCATGGCAAGCTTCGCGAAATTGTCTTTCAAGAAAAGATGGTGATAAATCCTTATTTTGATAAGGATTGACCACCACAACAGATACAGTTCTCAATATAGGCATGTAGACAACAAATATAGCACGTCCTTCAGAGATGCTGCATTTATAGATAAAATTCACAATTTAAGAATCAACATTCAGTTCCAATTCAAGAACTACAAGAAGGATAGGAAATGCTTTGAGCAATTCTTTGACTTCTTACAGAAAAGTGAAGTAATGTCCTTAGAGGTATCAGAGCTACCTATGATAGAGGTAAAAGTAGGAGACTGATTGCTCCAAATAAGAACATTCCGTTGTTGTCTTCATATGCAGTTCATTCAGACTCCAGCCATCCTGTGCATTCCGTTTCATGGCTGTTTTATCCACTTTACAGACACAACCAATCTGGAGGATGGCATTAAACTCCAATGGCACCTTTGTTTCATATATTCCCTGATGAAAAAATACAATTTTAATTAAATCAAAATCAGGACATCGCAAATGAAAACTGAAGCTGGCATCTTCTGGCTATACAAGTAAACTATCCTACTTCAATGTTAAACTTCATAATCTACTTTTTCTCTACTTCCTATAAATTTCAGCTTGTTTTCAGTACAACTCAAAAAAATATGAAAAGCTTTGGATATCCAATGGTGTGATTGGTACAAAAAGGAGAATAATAACTAGACCAGCAATATAAAAATGACTTTTGGAGCCAGAACTGCAATTTGCGAGAATGTATAAAAAATATATATTGAAATTAGAGGTAGCTAGGATTCTGTGAAAATAATGTGCACAGATGCAATAAAAAATTATGCTCTGGATGAGAATCAGTCAACATATCTGAAAAAATTGAAGTATATGGTAATGTTGCTAATGCTTGAATGCACCACTGGAAGACTTTCCTATTAGGAGAAATGTCGAAGGCTCAGTCCACCTAGGTTTTGAATTGTATATGTGATATACTGACTACATTGGCAGTTCACATTATTTAATAAATACAAGGTGTGAGGAAGCAAACAACACTAAATTAAAAAAGAAAAAAAAATGGTGTAGAAACATACAAGAATTAAGAAGCAAATATATGTAGAATGGTCAAGTCAAGGAACAAAAATGAACATGGTGTGCATTTGCACCAGGACTAATTTATTTGTGCAACTAAAATTATACAGAAGTCAATGATCATTAAGTTGACCAACAATTGAAGGTTAAGTAAAGTTTATGACTTATAGAATATCCTGACCTCAACTTCCGGATCTGCAAGAAGAGCTGCAAGTTTTTTGCTTTCTTTTCTAAATTTATCTTCATCAATGACAACCTATTGAGAAATCATTGCCAAAAGATTGAGAAAGAGAGAAAACACCATTAAAAAAATAGCAGGACCAGAAATTTAACAATAAGATACCTCAACTAAATTATAGCAATGCCTTCCATGAGGAAGAGTCTTCTTCACATGCCTTCCAGGAAATCTTTCTGTTATTGGTGCTTTAGAGTTAAGGTAAAATACTCTTGGAACTGTTATAGGAATCTTAAGCATGATTCCTTCAACAGTGACCCAAGCAAAAAATTGGCCAATATGTGGACTTGGAAGCAGCTGTATTATCTGAACAATGAGAACATGAGATTAAGTGGCAAGAAATCACTCATTGCAGCCAAATATCTTAGAGAAAAAGAAGACTACACACCTGCCAGTGGCATTGTGTAAGGGCAATTTCATGTGTTGTAAAATATGAACCAACACCAGTCCGGCGCTGATCTTTCTTATGATTCATCATACTGCCTAGTGGCTCATAAGCACCATTGGCACGATTTGAATTCCTCAAATTGCCCAACCTGCCAAAGTTTACAAGAGCACATTATTACCATTAAGTAAAAAATGTGTATGTCTTAGCATAATCAATAAAATAGTCCTATAACCAAAACAAAAAACATGATGGATAAACATAACCACACCAATTGACAAAGATATGGAATTTAAAATGGAAATTAATTCTCTAGAAGGAGCCAGATTAGTACCCAAATAAATTACCAAGTATAATCATGAATTCACCGAGGCAATAAGGTGACCTTGACTTAAAGGAACAAATAAAAATTTAACTCATTCATCGATCCAAAGGCAGTTGAACAGACTTTTTTAGGTCATCTACAGAGTTTTTACATCCTCCAAAAACAACTGAATGCAGACATGAGTACATCCAATCATTTGTTTGACCCCCTGATAACTGTGGCAACAAATCCTATCTACATTCATGCAACAGGTACTAGCGAGACTCCTGTCTCCCAGTTTGCAATGATTATGATTTGGGCATCTATATTTTAATCAACTCACTCAAACATAAGGAAGAGAACAAAGAAACAAGCTTTAAAAGTCTTCCACAGAGGTAACAAAATCTACCTTTGCCTCTTCCTCCGGTCCAAAGTATCTTTCCACTTTCTTTTCTTCTGTTCAAGCCACCCTTGATAATCTACATTTCTATCAATATTTTCAATAGACATTTCAGACGCACTTTCACCGTTATCAAGTTTCTGTTCTGAAAAATCCATTCTCCCAGTTGCCTTGAGTGAACATTTTTCATTGTTAACCTCATAACAACGAACAATTGGTCTAGGCCCATTTATAGAATTCCTTTTGTTTTGGAAGTCTTCCAAATCCTCAACATTCTCCTTATCCATCATATAACTGGCTGTAACAACATCAGTGGTCTTCCTTAATGAATCATCCTTGTTGGATAAGCTGAAGATATCAATCAATTTTCTTTGACGAAATTTATCCTCCTTTTCACGAACCTTTTTATGCAGCCAATCAGGATGAACAACCCTAGGGACAGGATTTGCAACCTGAAAAAGATTGTAATTTCCAGAAGGAAAAAAAAAAGAGAGTAGTTAATCTGATAAAAATGAACAAACAATAGAACCTTCTGCATTGCAGCAGGAATTGTAATGATTTTCTGAATTGCTGAACTGAGTCGTTGCTTGTAATAGGACCAATCAATGATGGATCTGATGCCTACATCTGATGAAGTCTTGCACCATTTTCGTAAATAGAACTTCATTATTTCTGCAAAATGAAAAGGTATTCTAGCATACAGAAAAGTGAAAAATAATAAGAGATAAAGGAAAACCAGATAAAGTTTACCAGTATCAGTTTCAAATATTGCAACAGGAACAGCACGCTCACTCACAGGTGTACCCTGCTCAGGTCATAATTGCAATAATTTTACCAAAATCATCCAGTTAAGCTAAAAGAATATTAAAAAATGAGAGATAAGTATCCTCGCATATTGCAATAACAGTAAAAGATAGCAAAGGAGATATACACAAAAATTGTAAGAGGCCATCCAGTGAAAAAAGAACACCTAATTTTATTCACATGCCTACTGACATGTTACAGTTGTCAGAAGTAGGCAGTTATATCATCCAGTGTCAAACCTAGGCACCTTAACAAGGTAATGATTATGAACATTGTTGTCATACATAACCTTCCCTTCCTGTTTTCCTAATAGTAATAATACTACATTGTCGAGCAGTATAAACAATCTACAGCTTTTGAACCAGAATTTACATGTTAGGACCTGAATAAATGACAAAAGGATGTACAGTTTCGCACTGAATAATCACAAGCAGAATAAGTCAATATAACAAGAGTTTTATTCTAATAACTCCAAGATGTATACTCATCTTTTCTGTGCATATGTTTAAATCCACATTGCAACTTCTCTCTAATTAATACCTCGATGTCAGAGCAATAATGAATTTAATATAGGACTTCCACAGTATAAAATTCTTGGGTGTGAATGCACAAAATTACCAGTGATGTATTCATCAGTAAGCTTAAAAAAAGGGGAAGCATACCCTTGGTTCACAAGCTACTATATATTGACAACGCAATCCCTTATCTTTAACCATTGTATCACCAAGAAAATCTGCAAGACGTCTTGCAGTGGTTACTGCACATGACTTTTGTTGACCATAGTCTACCAAGGACTTGCTCATTGTGCTTGATTCAGATATGTAATCGAGCAATTCACTGTCAGCAATATCTTTTCCTTGATTCTGAGATTAAAATGAGAAAGGAAAATAAAACTGTAACGTTCCCATAGTTTACACTTATTCATACATGCAATCACAAACAACCTTGAGCTTGTCTTAGGAAGATACATAAGATAGATAAAAGGTGAATGCTCAAGGAAACGCCGTATTGTTGCGTCAGATAGAAGGGTTTAATTGTGAAAACAATTAAAGTAATCATGTACATACATCAAGAAGATCAAGCCAGCGGTTGGCTACAGCAGCTACAGCAGAATAGCATTCCTCTAAGGTTGATCCATGGAGGAACTTATCAAAAAGCTCAGCCTGCCAACAAAATTTGCATATATCATGCATGAAAAAATAAGAATCTTAATGAATAGAGCTCAACTTTTGCATATGGAATATATAAACATACAATAGTAGGCATCATGGTCAAGGCATGTTTGAGAACTCTTCTCATTATTGATTAAAAGTATTATTATTGTATATGTTTTATATAGATTTATATTTCTCCTCAACAAAAAAATAAAAAATAAAAAATAAAACGCAGGAATTCTGTAAGATAAAAAAAATGCAAGTACATGTGCACACAGATCCAAGGGTTGACATGCAAATGTAGGCACTCACATAAAGAACGAAAAAAAGCCAAGGATCTACATTCTATTAAAATCAAAGGAAGAAATATCTAAAATCTCTTAGATAAGCAGATTCATTTGATGGGCCCATTTTTTAGTTAGTTGAAGAAAAAAAAGATAACCATAACAGGTATCAACTATTTAGTGTAGCCATTTTTCTCTGGCGATACATATTGCCCTTTAACCAACAACTTAAAATGAGAGCACATGATAGGAATAATAGACATCACGCATTTAGTTTCGCTAACATTCAACTGAGATTTCTTTATACAAGATGATCATAGCTCTAGACCACCATATATAAGCTTCCAGACACATCAACCGCCAACAGTTAGGGATGGACATTTGGTGAATTTGGTTCAAACCAAACTGAACCAGCCCAAACAGAATAACTGAATTTTTTAAAAGGAACCAAGCCAAACTGAAATTGTATTCATTTTTGAATTTCCCTTGGTTTTTTAAGACTTTTAAGAATTGAATCAAACCAGTCAGTTTGGTCAGTTTCCTCGGATTGACCAAATTTTGTACAACCCTACCAATAATCACCTATGTAACATTATCATGTTGAATTCCGTTAATTATAAAAAATTTTCGAAGTGGTTGCCAGAGTTTTGAACATATTGTCATGTTGGCAGAAACAGAAACGTAATCAGAAGGTTCTATAATAGTAATAAAAAGGGGATATTATTGGATAACACTTATAAACATAAAATGGACCTCTTTGAAATCAAACACGTGTAGTATTTCTTGAATATGACATGGGCATGCTTCTCCATTGTTTTCCCTCATGTTGAAATTGTTTGACTGAAATTTCAAAGTGAATCATACTGTGATTGCCTAATTAGAAGACAAGCAATGTTATGCACTATGCTAGTTTCTTTAAAAACGTGTCTTCTTTCACTAATTATTAAAAACAAATTAGCTTCAAACGGCTAAGAAGTCACACCATCGGTTTCTATTGTTAAATTCCAAGAGGCTTACAAGAAACCATTTTCAAGAGCAATAAGTTTTTGCAATTTTTTTCAGAAAAAAAAAATTATTCAAAAGATATCTTATGAATGTTGATTGCATACAACCCAAGAATTGTTGCGTCCAATGGTTGAGCTAATAACCTTAGTTCTTAATAATCAATTTTATGGGTTAAATGTTCTGGTTTTTAAAAGCAATAATAAAGTCTCTCAAGACATGCATATTGCACAAATGAATCATTGAGGATGAGTCCAATTTTACTATGAAAGAACAAAAGCAAATAAAGAATACTAAGAGGGTACCTGGAAAACTTTGATGAGCTTCAGCTCACCCCTACGCTTGATTTCAAAACCTTTAAGTTCTGCAAGGGTTCCATCATCATTGAAAACAGCATATCGCTTCTTAATCAAAATTCCTTCTTCCTTAGAAGCAGGAAGAATCATTGCCTAACAATAACAAAATAAAAAATAATAAGAAAAAGGTATTGGTTGCCAAGAAAAACAGAAGTTGTAATCCAATAACAAGTACTATTCAATGTTACCTTGTACGGGCCATCCACTTCAAATTCAATTGAGCATTCACTATGAGTTTCATATGTTTTATTTACAGGATCTTCAAGTGTCTGTTCGAAAACAAAGAAGTCTAAATGATCACTGTAGTTCAAGCAAAAGAAAAAGGCAGAGATTTTCCATATTGCCATAACATAATAAATTGATAAAGAAAGAAGCATTTGTGTTGATCATTTGCATAGATGAAGAAAAAGCTCCCACCAGACCTGGTATTGATCATTTGTATTGTTTCTTGCAACATCAACATTAAGCATAACACAGGGATATGAGATCGTCAGTTTTTTCTTCAAATCCCTAAAACAGATATTTCCCAAACAAAAGTTAGCATAACTTAAATGCTTTTTTTTTTTTTTTTGAACTTCGTGAACTAGTATCCGACAAATGAAATAATGAAGCATGAAACCCATGAAGTACCAGCTATAATCATGTAAAAACATGTAAATCATGAATTTCAGTATCTTACATTGTTTTGAATGTAAAATTCTCCGGAAAAGATCCAGGAAGCACACACCAAATACCATCTGTGTCCAATTCAAGTGGTTTTCCAATTTTTTCAACAAGCAAACGAGCATTCTGAATTATTTTAGCTCCTGTATATGTAACTACACCAGCCATTTCCATTGAGTACCATCTTGCACCCCTAGAACAGAAATAAGTACAGTTATCATTTTAATAAAGACAAGGATACATATACCCAGCCCATTTCCCGTCATATGGAATCACAAGAAATATGGAGGCCACCAACTCACTTCCGCATGACATATCCATAGAACGAATTAAGTATACACTTGTGTGCAAGTTGCAGTGAATCATAAAGCACAACCATATCCTGCAAGCATGAATAAGGAAAAGGCAATTTGTATGAGAAACAATTTCTTAATCATGAAAACTATTTTAAAGACATTCAACAAAGAATAGCATCATACCTGTGCTTCCTGGATCTTAATGGAATTTCCACTAGCCTTTGCTTCTGACAACTTCCCTTTCCAAACCTTGTTAAGTCCTTTATATTCGTATCTTCTGTCCCGAAAACTTGAACCAGATTGAAGAAAAAGGAATTAGTACATGAATGACATAAAAATAATAAATAAAGTTTCATTTGATGATTTATTCTCATATATTATATATATGTTCTAAAAAATAGGTGCTGTTTCACAACTAAACAAATGAATTGTCATAAAGAGGTCATAGCATAAACAAATAATTTTGGCTTAATACATAAATTGACACCTAAATTTTACTAAAAAAAAATTAGAGGCACTCACAACTTTTAAAATTGCATCTATTGAACCCTTCAAATTGTAAAATGGCATTTGTCTTGAAGGAAAATATTTTTTATTCTCATTAAAAATTTTTATCAGTACATACTCTCACACACAACCGCACAACATATACATGATTCTATTCCTAAGATCACTCCTAAAATCTAGCAGACATGACTCCTATAAACAAGCCTAAAGTCATGTCTAAAGATGACTATCAAACTAAAGTAATTCCTTATGTATCTATGTATATTGACAACATTAACGGCACCTATTGGATAAAATTTTACACATCAACATTGTTAACAAAATGAATCGGGCCTTGCTCACTTTCCAAAAGCTAGCTCAAGGGGAGGAGGATAATCCGAGTCTTATAGTTTGACTAAACACATTGTCCCAAGCTAATGTGGCATAATACACCACATTCACACCCAAGAATGAACATCTGAAGCATGAAGTTTGTAGGCAAACACTTCTGCAGATGGCCCAACATTGAAGCAAGGTAGGCTCTGATACTATATTAATAAATGGACAGAAGCTAGCTCAATAAGGAGGAGGATTACCCAAGTCTTATGGTTTGACTAAACATCTTATCTCAAACCAATGTTGGATAACAAACACAAAAGTTGAGGATGCCACCAAACTTTTTTCTTGTAAAGTTCAGGTGCTAATTTATGAATTTGACCAATGATTGTTTGGCTGAAAAATTTAGCGAAGTAAATTTATAATAGAACAAATTAAAATCGCACACCTCCGAACAGTATCAACATAAAATGAGTTTTCACGCATGCATATCCCTGCTTCTCGAACTTCGGTGACAGGTTTGTCAAGTACCCGTTTATATGCCTAAAAGGATGCAAAAACTTAGTAAGACAAGTTTTGTCAAGCAAATGTTTTACTATAGATAGAAACATACCTTCTGACAGTATTTCTTTAGACGCTCTTTGAGCTTTGATTGTTGCTCCATCTTGGGAAGGTCAAGAAAAGATTTTGACAACTGACCATCAGTGCCATCGACAAATTCAGACTCAATTTGCTTCTTCAAATGATAATAGTCACTGAAATTGATAGATGTTGTATCCATGCAAAATTAGCTAATATCAGCATATCACTAATATAAACAGAAAACAGTACAATGGAGGGCAAAAAAGAAAAAGCACCTTTTCTTTGCCATAAAGATCTCTCCACGCCAAACCCATTCAAGCCTTCTAAGACAAGTTTTGTCTGGACGGTTGAAGTCACAGGCAGTACAAATCTCTTCTGTAACTATAGATGGCGGCTGAAATTGGAAAAGAAACATCAGCGCACAATAATTGCAAGGATCCTTTATGAAAGTCAAAGTGAAAGAAAACGACAAAAATATGAAACTATTACTAGGAAGAATATAATTGTGAAAGTTATGATAACATGACGCAATAATTCCCTGTAGCCTAACTCCAAAACCATAAAGCATAATCATAAAACTACCACACTTATTTGCCCTAGCTAAAACCTTTAACTTTCACTTCCAAAAACTTCTCCAAATTTGAGCAGATACTTAGGCCCTGTCCAAAACTATCAAAAAGATGATTCTGATTAACTAGAGGCAGTGACTGCACGTAGTGAGGCATTATTATTTCATTTTTACTTTAGCTCAGTCTCACAACAGTGGCAGAAAGAAAACCAGTCCTTGAGTCTCTATTCAGATTCTAATTGATGCAATATTAATATAGAACAGAATTAAATAATTTTAGAAAACCACCATTTGTAGACCAGCTTATTAATCATACCTGAAGCCTGTTTGTCAAAATAATGTTCGGATACATTGCTGCCACATCTAGATGATAAATAAGGGGGCACTCCTCACGTACAGGTTCATCCCTTAACCTCGCAAGCTACATGAGAAAAGGTTAAGAAATAATTTATTATCCTCATGATTTTTCTTTTTGCTTCATTAATTTATTTTAGCTTAGATCTATCTTCTCCACATCTCACAAAATCTTTGAATTGCATTATCAAATTTCAAACAAATAACTAAGAGAAATAAACAATTGATGACATTAGCAAATATAGCATGTTTTTACAACAATGTTTAGAAATCAAATGATTACTACATTATATCAAAGAAAATGAATATTTGCTGATAATTCGTTGTACAAGTGATCATTTGTATGCTAAGAAATACGAGAGCATAACCAACTATTTTGATTAATAAACATGAATGATAATAAAGAGGCAAAATGTCAGAAACAGAAACAAGCATATATTATTATCAAAAAAAAAAAAAAAAAAGAAAGAAACAAGCAATATATCATCGTCAAAATAGAGACTGATCATTTAATTAGTCTAAAGACCAAAGCCATGGTTGAGATGGAGTATAAGCACCTTTTCCACGATAGCATTCTTCACTTCATCATAATTGGAGACAGTATCCAAGTCCATCTTACCCTCCACTCTTATGGCATATTGAAGATCTCGGTCCAAGTTTTTTATCAGTTGCTAGAAATCAAAGTGTTCCACTACCAGTCAAATATAAGCCATAACATTAACATAAATCAAAGTATTAAGAAAATTGCATTCTAAATGTGACTTAGAATATCCACATAATGACCTAAAAAGTAAAAAGAATTTCATTCCAACAAAATTCCAATGCTTACACGTCATATATTCTGTGTAATTAGACAAAAGCTTGTTTTGAGCCCAACCAACATAGAAAGAAACCAAGTTGCCTTAGGTTTCACATGTCTTTATTAGTTACAGAAAGAAAACAAAAATGAATGTTTGCGGACTAAATCCAATATGGAAGACCTCTAAGCAATCTGGTAAGAACTAGCCAGTAGGACAGTTCTTCAAAATGCCAAAAAATCCAAGTTTGTCTTCACAATAAATTTAGGTTCATGGTTAGTGAAACGAAGTCTAATCAAGTAATGGAATTACATTTAACTCAGCCCCTAAGCACCAATTTTTGGACATTTGCATTAGATGGGAAGGTCCAACTTTCTAGAAACGATCCCTTTTCCATATGATAACAACTGGTTTCTTTGGAAACATGGTGTCCAAGGCCATGATAACCTTTGCGACATTACCAAGGACGGCATATGGAATCTTCGAAGATATAAAGGTGTCTCAGCAATGTTAAAAGGGTAAAATGATGATCTACCAAATAGATCTACTGCCTGAAGTAATGAATTGAATTTAATAAAAAAAAAAAAAAAAAGAAAATATCAATTCCTAGTTTATCAATCCAGTTTAAAAATCACCCCAGTTGCTCAAAAGGAATAACTTACATCATATGCGGATGGATCAAGCTTAAAACTAGTTGGTAGATCAGATCTGAAAACACCACTTTCAAGGCACTCCACATGGCCACCAATATACGTCTCACTCTCAAGAAGGTGGCTCTTATAGAATTTCTCAGGGTCAGATTGGTGTTTGTTAGGGCAGATAACATTCGCCTTGTATGCCTGTAAGAAAATGCAATAATGAATTGAAATTTGGAAGGTCAAAAACAACAAAAAAAAATAAAAAGCCAAGGCTTCTGGAGAAATGTGCACACCAGCCCACCTGCACCATAAGAAGCATTTCACATAGTGTACCACTGCCTTTGCGTAAAACTTCATCCGGTGACATAGGAATTATTGTTGCAAGAGAGAAAATGAACGGATGAACGTAGGTCATATACAAATAATAAGTTGCAACAGCATCAGAAACTGAATAAGAGGCCATCATCTGTCATAATATTTTCAGAAATAAAAACAGTGTAAAAAAATGTTGCAATTTAAAGGATGCACGTAAAGCAAATTCAAATTTAGTTACTGAAAAAAACATCACCAAACTTTCATCAGTGAAAAAGATGAATATGGGATAATAAGTGATATTGCTCATTTTTCAACAAAAAGAAATATGATGGCAGAAAACTTCTAATAAGCACAGCTATTTGGGACCACTATTCCCCACTAACTCATACCTGAGGCTTTTCTTTTGCAAAGCGTACCATGTCTTCTGGATTCACCTCCAATGGATCATATCCCAATTTTGCCTTTGTAACAGCCTGATATATAAATTCAAAAAGAAAAATGTGTCAAATCACTAAATTTATGTGGTAACGAAAGATAAGTTGAAGGTTAATTGCAAAGTTAGAACAATATTTTCAGAAGAAAAAAAAAGGTAAACTACTGCATAGACTGCCTAAAGGGTGAAAGTGTTAGATTATGCTTTCCTATTATTGAATGGTAAAAATTCATGCAATGTAGGGGTCTTTTTTCCCTTTTTCTGGTTTCTCAAAGGCTTCTATCAGACAAAACTATAATTTAATATAAAGGTGTTATGTTTCTAACACTATCAGAGATCATCCCATATGAAAGATTGCGCTCATTCAAAGAATATACAGCTAGGCATCACAAAAATTTCCATGGTCTTTTCAGAAAATTTTGGTACTAGAATTGGCGGTGAAGAAGATACAAGCGAATTGCAAATGCCTACTTGAGATTTTGGAGCAATAAAGCGCAATAGATTGAGAGAACACAAAATTAAAATAATTCTGAATTCAATGGTGTTACCTTGTTTACAGAATTGTATCTAGAATTTACTGTTAAACAAATTGACAATTGTTAAATAGGAAACTAAGAGCATGTACATTTTCCGACACATACTACTGGCCATCTGAATCTTCGAAATTGTTAATACATATTGGTGTAGTGTTTTATTATAAGAAAAATGGAAGTCAAAAGTCCAACAACCACATGGTCAGTATGTTTGATTTTACGAAATAGTTCATCTGACAATCAGAAGCAAAACTCCTAAAAAGCATGAAACTCAAAGTAAAGGTTACACCTTAAGGCCCTGACTCCCCTGAGGCAAATAACTATCACGTTTGACCCAAGCAAAACAATCCAAATGGCAAGCAAATTTAGAACGGCACTCCCCCTGATTCTTGTCACATGAAAATCCAACCTCCTGAACACAATAGAAAAACAAAGTAGCAATAAATCATACATGTGACTTTGCTTGAAACTCGATAATTGATTATTAAATGAGAACCAAATTATACGATGCACATGATAAATGAAAATTGCCATTCTCATACTCTGGTCAAAAGTTTGCAAGTTAACAAAAACAATAAATATAAACAATAATGCTTTCAAATATTTAATAAATTCAAGCTTGCTGTGATATCACTAAGACATTATCCTCAGGGTTAATTAGACATCTGAATTTTCCTTCTTTAGCAATTCAATATTTCCCAACATAAAAATGGAAATATAATAGCAGTTCCAATAGTTGGAAGCATACTCCTCCTATTCCTAGCAAATGACAACAGGGAGTGTAAATCATGTGCCAAAGACATTATTTATAAAAAAAAAAAAAAACAAAAAAACAAAAAAAAAATGTCAAAAAGTTAAGTATCAGTCTTTCTCCTTCCATCACCACAAAATAAAAGCTTAGTGGTAACAATTGAATGCGTAAAAATAAAGAAGAAATATGTATACTAACTTCAAATTTCAAGTTGTTCACATATCATATTCAAGTACCAAAGGTAAATTAATAATTGAAATTGTCAACCTACAAAAAGTATATAAGAAAATTTAAAAAAAAAAAAAACAAAAAGAAACAATAAAAAGATCCTTCACAATTCTTAAAAGAACGGAACATTTTTTATCTGATATTGTTTAAGTTCTCACATTTTAATAATAGAAAGAAGTTATAAGAACAAACTTATAGGAGTCTGCAAGTGAATGTGATAGGAAATGGAGGCATACATCACTCATCTTCAACCCATGATAAGCTGCTCTGCTTTCCAGGAATGGCCAGTCAAAATAATCACCGTTGTATGTAACATAAATACCGGGTTTTACCTCTCTCATGTGGGTAAACCACTGCCTAAGAAGTTCCACCTATGAATAGACAGAATCACATATATGGGACACACATGAATCAGCATTTTAAATATATTCCACGCAACTAAATTGATACATATTCATTACCTCATTTTGCACATTGGTCACTTTGAAGCACCCTTCAAATTCTGGTTTTGGTGTGTACTCTATATCCTCTATATCTTCCCCTACACACTGAACTTATGTGCAATAGTTTTGATTAATATACAACAGATCTCAAAGGTTTGAAAAAAGAGAATGCAGAATACAAGATGAATAAATAGATAGATAGGCAGATTGACAAACAGGCAAACCGCTTCTCAAAGAAAGTCAAATTTTTTGCCCCAGGAAAAATAGGTACACCTATCCTTCATATCATAATGGAACATAAAAGCACTTCTTTAACTTCCCTTCCTTTACAATATGATCAATAACCTCAGTCTATCATCTTTGATTTTGCTATTGGTTCTTAAAAGTCATCAATTACATACATAAAGCAACAAAAAAAAAATGCAAATCAAGAACCTCCCTTTAAATTACATTTGAGCCAATCAGTTCAATTATAATTTATGCACTCAGTAAAAGCTTAACAGGCTTTAAAATCTCCTTCATTATGAGCAGTATGCAAACATGTCACTATGCTGTAGAGAGCATATCTACAAAAATAAATGAAATTCAAAGTGACCTCTATAATCAATGTGGCCTTGATCATTGCTCCTTGTTGACAATAAGATTCTTCAGATTCTTTTTCAGTAAAAGTAACCAAAATCCTTGACATGATAAAAAAAATTGCACCTTATCGCTTTTCCTTCTCATTGTTATAATCTCCCGACGTTATAATCTCCCGAGAAATAGAATATCAAAATATTGTCTAGGAACGCCTTTATATCATTTACTTCCAAATTTTTACATAAACCCAAAATGGTCAAAGAGTGATTTCAAGATTAAAACCCCATAATGCTTATCTAGGAAGGTTAATGATCCACCCACTTCCTCTGATCTCTCTCAAAATGCAAACCCTCCTTTGAATGAGAGCAATGTCATCCTTAACCAAGCTGTCTGAAGCAGGCTTCATCACAAACTATCACAACCTGCTCATAAATGAGATACTAGATATAGAACCAACACGCCATTCATAGTTAAATATTAGGTAAGCCCAAGAGAACGTAGACTTCTGGAGCACCATTCTTGTTATAAGACATCAAATCAAAAAAGCAGCCAGATGGAAGAACTAGACACAGGAATTTATCGAACTGAATGGACCCACTTGCACACTAATTAATCATGTCAATTTGACAAGTGTTCCATGAGCATTTACATTTCGCATAGACAGTTTGAAACAATCACCAAATACTTCTAAAATATTAAAAAGCTCTTCAAGACAAAACGTATCCTAAAAACAAGAAATTCATAAACTTTACAGAAACAGAAAAACTCGTCATATGTACCTCTCTGTTAATAATTAAATAGCCTTGTCCATCAACCATGTATGATATCATCATTATCAAATCGTATCCAGCATCTGGAAACTTCAAAGGAAGCTTGGTAGTTTCAATATCAAATGCACATATGCGGACTTCAGCACGTTGTAGAAGATCAGTCCTCTTTTCAAGCATAACACCGCTACTGGATACACTAACATCGTACCATTGCCCGCAACGAATATCTGGGTAGCTTGAAGTTGTAGGATGTTAGATGATAATTATGCAATTCATTTAACTTCACACATGTTATCATGATAAAAATAGTTTCCAAAACCAAAAAAAATGCACAAGGAAATCACCATTATCAACGGCAAAACGAACATGGTATGGCACATCATACTCTCGGAGATCAAGTATACAATCTAGAAAATCTTGAGGCCGTTGTTCTCTGCTTAACAGTAATCAAAATAACAATAGGAGCAGATAAGTAATAAAACTAGGATGCAAATAAATGACTAGCAAGTGGTACCTTTTCCCTGTTAATATGGACTCATATGCTTCTGCAGTATTAAACTTTGCCTGGTTTCTTTCAACAACATGTGATAGATCTTTCTTCACATCCATTAATTGTTGAACAGTAGAAAATGATATTTTCAAATATCGTTTGTGTAAACCAGACAAATGGTTTTTCTGCCAATTAGCATATGAAGAAATCAGAACAAATCAACTTGATGAAGTGATGCACAAATGTTAACCAAAGGTATATTTCAATAACAAAGGAATGAAAAAAATAAATATTAAGTCGAGACATATATGTACATATATTATATTACAATTATTCTCCTTAGAGCTGTTTCTTGAATGCAAAGTCCACAGGCAAAGTCCACAGGTTTGAATGCAAAGTCCACAGGTATGATTCCTGAGACCTCAGCAAGCATTTTAACTTTTTCCTTTTCCCACCCTCTTCTTTCTTAAGAGTGATTTGAAACATTCATTTCTTAATGTTCTCGTTCCCAAGTATATCAAACAATAAACTCTTATTCACCTTTCCAACTTGCAGAACATCCTGTTCAAACCCACTTGTTGGTTCATAAGTGCAATAGCCACAGTTCCCAAACCTGGTCCCAGAGGCTAAGCCCTAAAACCCAATAACTTTATATTGTTGTTGTAACCCAAAACTGCAGCCAGTTTGTATCTAAGCATCTACAACATTAATTACATATGCTTCTAACACCAAGTTTTAACAAAAATCTATAATTATATATTTTTGAGAAAAAGAAAAAACAAATCGAGCTGTTCTCGAGCACCAATGCAACTCTTTAGGAGCTGCCAAATCACAAAGATCTTGTCCCCAGACACTAACACTCATACAAAAAGCAAACAAGGCAAACAAAATGAGACTCGTCCAAGGCTCAAAAGGACAATAGAAGCTAACAGTAAAGAATATAAAGTAACTCACAAGATCTAGGTCCTCCTTTCCCACAATCTCACTATCAGCAATTTGACTTTCATAGCGCCTCCGCAAATAGGCCTCAACATCCATTTCCATTTTATCCTATCACATGAAATGAGCACCAACAGTTACTAATTTTGTGGCAACAGCTTAACTAAGTCAATTAAACCACAAAAAAAAGGAAGAGAAAAAGAAAACTCATGCAAACAAAATCAAGGGAGAGATAAAGCTTATACCTTTGTAGCAGCATAGAAATAAGGACGGAATTTGAACTTCGACTTGAAAGTAGAACCATCCTACAGTTATTAATCAAGAACAAAATGTTTTTTAATTAAAATCGAAAATTAAAATAATAGTTAAGGAAAACATTAAAACAAAATCTTTAATTAACCTGGGAAACAAAGTATAGATCAACACAACTGTGCGTTTTGCGCGTTTCTTGATCCTCCCAAGATGACTGCAAATTAAAAAATCCAAATTCATATATTAAAAAAGGACACAAAATAGCAAAATAAAATATCTAATTTCCATTTTCTCAGTAACAAACAGACTATCAAGAGATAAGCGAAACTGGATTGAACTTACGGGTGCAAAATTGAGGAGCCACCCAAGGCGTTTATCTCCTTCTGTGAATAGATTGAAACCGAATTTCGAGTCAAGTTCTTCTTCGGCGTTACGGATCAGCTTCTGCTTCTTTGGTCTCCGCCCAAAATCCTTGCGGTCCCGTCTCTGGTTATCGGCGTTCATTGCTTTGAATTAATGTAGAGAATGGATTGAGGGATAAACACGAGAAGAAAGGTGAGGGAGAAGGACCGAAGGAGGTGTTAGTTTACAAAACCCTTGTGATTTGATTGTGCTTGTTCTGCCGCGCTACTAAGGAGAGGGATGGAGTGTTTTCCCGCCCAAATGCACTGCCCTTTAGTTTATTGTAATGACAAAAATGCCATTGTAACTTTCCTTCAATATATATACGCCCCAATGCACTGCCCTTTAGTTTATTGCTAACTGACAAAAATGCCATTGTAATCCTTCCCTTTCCAATCAATATAATATATATACTATATTCATATTAAGGGTATTAAGCCAAACCGGCTAACCCACCCCAAACACTGCCCACCTCCTCTCTAACCCCACAAAAAAATCTGAATCGCCTTCGACCTTTGAATTTCGTAAAAGTTTTAAAAAACTGAAACTTCTCTCTCACTTTGCCCTTTCACCTTAGCTTCTTGACACCATCCACCACTCTTCAACAACCATCGAACGCAAACCATCTATACTACCATACCCTCACCCACTCATCATTTGAATTTCCATCCAATTCCTTCAATATATATATATATATATATATATTAGGGTATTAAGCAAACCGGCTAACCCACCCAAAATGCCATTTTAAAAAATTGATCGCTTGATTTGATTTCGTAAAGTTTAAAAACTGAAATTTTAATTTGATTTATAGTTTTGACATCAAACTATTCAAATCGAACCAAACCATTATATACATATATATATTTGAATTTTTAAATTCAACTATTGTATGACGTGCGTTGCCGTTGAATATGCTCTTTTTATCTATCTAATATTAAAGCATAAGTTTTATTTCGATTACAATTAGTACAAGTGGCTAATTTGAATTACAATTTGCCATATAAATTATTTACAATGCTAATTCTTATGTATTTAATTCTATTTTTATATAATAAATTAGTCTTAGAATAAAGTTCAACTCAATTCCTAGACCTAATATTTTAGTTCCTAATTTATAAATGCAGATTTTTAAAATTCTCAATAAGTGACCAAAAAGAAAATAAAGTCATCGCTCAGTCTTTAACACATACTCTCAACTCCAAATCAATATCTATATATAACTACAATGAAATATAATAATAAATTATTTTTTATTACTAAGTAAAAGAAAAGAAATGAAAAGATAATCTGAATTAATAATGGAAATCACTTTGTGTCACAACCAGAAACCATGGGCCGGAGCGACACTAGGACCCTGGTAAGCATAAGGCCCCCAAAGTCCGTAGTAAGCCTGAACCACTAAAAATTCAACCATAACAATATGAATTTCAAATAATCAGCTCATGTTGTCATACATAATAAATCTCATAATTATATTAAACTATGGCACAAATCTAGAATCTTAACATTTTATGGCTCGGGCTCAATTATAATACGAACATTCATAATACAGGCTAACTGGTTCATGCATTCAAATAAATGAATAACTAAACATCTACCTAAGTTAATCTGTTGCAATCTTACAATTACGGAGTTCACTAACAGATAGATATAAATAAGTCTTCGTACATATAGCTATATAATAAAATAATTATTGAAACTAGAAATTTTTTTTCTAGCTCTGCGGTGAAGGAAACAGAGCTTTAGCCGGGATAAAAAAGAATCTACTTCCAATCGAAAATTGGACTACGATTCCACGATCAGAACGACGATAAGATGATTCTGCCTCCTGGGGCCTCACTAGAGACTGGCGGCCGATCGCCAGACTGCCTCAGTCGCCACCGTGCACGGTGGCCGAAAAATTGAGATCACCTAGAATTTTACAGCAATCACACCATTCAACTGGCAATTCGATGAGGAGCTAGTTTCTGATGTCAGTTTATGGAGTGGATGAGTCGTTTGGTTGGAATGAGCCTCGACAGCCACTCACCACTACCCTTCATGGTGATTTTGCCATCCATGGCTTGTCACTGGAATTGAGAGAGGAGAAAGCATCGAGAGGTGAGGGGGAGTCGATCGACACTTGTCTTTCCCACTGGAACCACCGGTAACAACATGGAATCACCGAAGACGGGTGAAAGCGCTGCTGCATCGTTCGCCAAGGAAGGATCGCAGCTCCCTCCTTGCTACGTTCACCGGAGTCGAAAATCGAGAGAGAGAAACTGGCGGGGCGACGACGAAGAGGAGGTGGTGCCGGGTGGCTCAAGTGGCGACAAAAAAAAAAACAGAGAGAAGGGGAGAGAGATGAGCGGCGCGCGAGAGAGGAAGAAGAAGAAGAAGAGAAAAGAAAAAAAAATCTGGGGTTTCAAGACTATTCCAATTTGATTCGAACCGGTTTGGTCCAACTCAATGGTCTTTTGATTCTTGCTTGATTTACGGATTTTTTTACTTGGTTTCGAAAAATTCAAACTGGTTTACAGGTCTGGTTTAGCAATAATATTTTTTTTTTTTTTGCTAAATTTCATTGGTTAAAATTTTCAATCAAATTTTTAAATAAAAATTTTTTGAAAAAAATTTTCCGAGTCGTTTCACTTTGGTTACAGTGGCAATATTATTTACCTAGTGTATAAGAGAAAATAATACATGCACATCCATACAAATTCTTGAAATCCCAAAAAATGACCTAAACAAAACTATATAGTTCTAGTTTTTTTTCAGTTTCCTAAATATTATTTTCTTTTAAATTAAACAAATTTAGAATATAAGAGACAAAATATCAATAAAATTAAAAATGCCCAATCATCAATAGGCCATCTATGTATTGCAAGGGGATATAAATCTCTATTAAATTAAAATGATAGTAGTTACAAACTAATTAGTAATGAAAAAAATAAAAAATTATTATTAAGAATAAAACTCTTTCAAAACTATAAAAAATTATTATTAAGAATAAAACTCTTTCAAAAACTCATCTAACAAAAAAATTTTCAATATATATATATATATATATATAGTATATATATATATATATATATATATATATATATTATATATATATATATATATTATATATATATATTTCTTTTTTAAATTAAAAATTTCAATTATTTACCATGTCAGATTTAATATATAAAATTCTATTTGAAAATTTTTCTTTAAAAAATATATCCTATCAGATCAACACACATAAGAATAATATTAATAAAATAACCAAAACATAAAGACAAAATATTAAATAATAATGTTACTTTTTTCTCTTCTTTTTAATCTTTCCTTAAATAAAATATTATATATATTCTATTGAAAATTTATTTTTTAAAAAAATACATCCAATCAACCTCATAAAACATAAAAAAAAAGAATATTAAATAAATAAATATATTTTCTTTTTCTTTTTAATCTATATCCTAAATGAATTAAAATATTTTAATAAATAAAATATAAAATATTTTCAATGTCTCATTATCATATTATATATATATAATATATATTATTATTATTATAATATATATATATATATATATTAAAAAATAAATTTAGCAAAGATAAAACTGAAATTTTTAAATGCTTAGTATTATCTATATGTATTTATCAAATGTCTCGTTATCATATATATTTATTTAAAAATGAATTTAGCAAAGATAAAACTTGAATTTTTAAATGCTTAGTTATCTATATGTATTTATTTAAAAAATATTTTTTTTGATTCATTAGGAGTTTAATGGCCCAAAATAACAATGCGAGTTACAAAACAAGGAATAACACTTAACTCATAAAATTGGTGAAAACACTTGTGGTCGAGGGAACTCGAGACCTCTAACTTCTCACATAAGTGAGAAGATAATTAAACCACACATGATTGACTTAAAAAATAAATTTTATAAATATATCCTAATAAAATGTAATTTTCTAATTGCCTATAACTAAGGTTATTTTAGGATATCCTAAATTTCATTAAGGGCGCTATCGAAAATCTCATTATTCCTCCCTATTCCCACTTTTATATATAGTATAGATTCAATTTTTTTGAAAGAAAAATCCCTTTAGATTGATTAATTGTATATTGAATAGAAAATGAGTAGATTAATTTACATTCAACAATAATTGAATAATAATTTTATAGTAATTAGATAAATCGTAATTATTTTATTTTATAAAAATTTCAAATATTAAAAATTCATGGAAAATTATATTAATATATATGTGTAGAAATTATAGGTAAGCAAAATTATGGCTTTTATAATTTTTTAGTAATAAATGTAAAAATAAATCATAATTTAAAATTCTACATTTATAAATTGCTTAATAACATCTTATTCAATATATAACCTTTTCAAACCACACTAAGAATAAACATATAAAAAAATAATTTAACAACTTTTAATAGTTACTTAAAATCATGTGTCTTTTATGACATAGTTTGTATTAATTTATTTTCCATATTTAGTATAATGTTAATTTTGTTTTCTTATTAACTAGATGAATAAAGAAGTCTAATTTCTCTTCTTCCAAAATGTGAAACCAAACCAAAAATCAAATTAAATTGTCACTAAAGATTTGGTTTGATTTAAAATTTTTATGGTTTGATTTTATTTTAATATTTTAAACTGCTACTTTAAATTTGATTCGATTATTATATTTGAACTTAATAAAATTGGCTCACAAATAACCCTACTATATATATAGGAATGGAAGGGAGTTTTCATGGCTATCTAACCCGCAAAAATCCATTTAAAGTATGTTTGAATATTAATTATGGGTTTGAGATAGATGTGTGATAAATTTACTATCGACTGGATTTAAAGCTGCGCTACTATTTGTCAAAACTCATTATATAATTAAATATAAGTAAAAGATAAATTGCATATTGAATTTGAGATAGTAATTAATTTGGCTAACTAAACTTATGCCCAAAGCTCCAAACCCTAATATCATGTTCAACAAATTAATTACCAACAAAATTAAACAAATTTAAAGGGTTAATTTATAAATTTTGCGTGCAAGCTTTTAAAAATTTTTCTTTTGGTCTTTAAATGTGAAACTTTTGCAATTAAATATTTAAACTGTAAAAAATTGATCAATTAAGTGTCTCATGCTCGATGACTAGCCGAATTTCCAAATAGGACAACGTGGGTCTACACATCAAATTAAAAACACGCTAACTTAGTGGCAACTTAGTTGTCAA